TGCGATTGCTCTCATAGAGACAATGCCAAGATCACAAGGGAGGGTTTCTTACTTTCAAGATAAGATTGGATGTGCCAGCTTTGACTGCTAATTTCATTCCTCTGTGGTTCTAAGGGAGAAATTCTAGGGAGAGAGTGATGATAGGAAAACCTGGCTTAAGGACTGGACCGGAGTCTGCCAAAAGAGGGAAGAGAGGTGAAGGGTGGGGGGGCAGGGGGGGGAAGGACCGAAGGCCCGGGAGGCACACTGGATCAGTACTCACCTGCATCCCACCCTTTCCTGAAACAGAACATTCCCTCGCTTACCTTTATTTCCTAGCAGAAACTTCTTTTCATTCTTAAGGTATTTGCCTAAATTCAGCGAGCTGCCTGACACAGAGTGGGTCCTCAAATATTTATTCAGTGAATGAACGAGGAAAAGCCAGCCTTAAAATACGGATTATCTCACTGCATCTAGGTCCAAGGGAGAAACTGTATGGATAGCACTTCCTTGCAAATGTTTGACTGCTATACACAAACCTAACTCTAAATAGATGATGGATCTATAAGAGAACACCAGATATTGTAGTTTAAGGTTTTTTAAAGCAAAGAGTAGAAAAGGAAAACTAACAAGGAACTAGCAACATGGAAAGCATTTGCTCTGAAAAGTGCATTAAGAGGAAAGGGAAATACAGTCAGGAGTCACAAGCAAATGAAATGGTGAGAGATGTGGGAAAGCATTGCAAACTAAAGATTAGACATTTCCAGAGCTCACTTGTTGGTGGCTAAGTTGGAAAAAAAAAAAAAAGACACAGGCATAAAAATTTCTTGTCTTTCTCTTGTTTGGTAAATATTCCTTGTTTTTTTGTCAGTGATGGACTTTGGAACCAGCCTTTCTTCAGTTATAAAAAAAAACACTGCTATGGCATTCTAAAAAGAAAAATGTATCTTCTAAACTTGCTCAGAATTCAGATGCGTACAGGAAAAAAAATCAGTGAATCACTTAAAAAAAACAAAATTCTCAAAATTTGAAAGCCAAAAGTGTGTTTTAAAGGCCTACATGCATATGATAGCGTACTTGAAGCTCATTCTGCGAGTCACGTTCGCGTGCTGTGCTGCTCCTCACTCGGAGCCGAGCGGCGCGGCCCGCAGTGGGATGATGCCTTGTTATTAGCCCTGGCTGACATGCAGAGAGACACAAAACCGTCTGCAACCAGCTGATGTTCCAACAGGGACACAGGGGAGTCGTGATGTTGACCGAGTGTACTGGGTAATGAGCCAGCCCTTCCTCACTTCCCTCCGTAACATTCCAGATACATGAATATAATCTGATGGTGCCTGATGTCTTTAAACATAAAGGCGTTGTTTAACATCTTTACACCTTAGTTTTTCAAGCATTCTGGAGGGAAGATGATCACTACCCCCGTTCCCATATCCAAGGGATGCTGTGATCTCCTCACAGTCATGCTGGACATGATCTCTGAAAATAGGGACTCTGCATGCTTGCTTAAAAGAAATGCTGTATATCACAAAGGACTTCATGGTGATCTCTTCTCCAAAAACAACATTTGGGTTCATTTTTATATAGCTGGAGGTACAGTAATGATCTAAGGTTTTTCATCTTAGATGAACTATTCAATTTAAATTGATATTTTTTATATTAAAACTATTTATTAAAAGGCAACTGGGACATGGAACAATGCCAGGACTTTGTGAAAAAAAAAAAAAGCAGTAGAAACATTGCCATAATTTCATAAAGGTACAGTTAAGTAGGGACTGTGTCCTAGAATGGAAATGTCCCTTGACTTCTGCACTTTGTTTATAACACCCGAAGGAGAAAGTTTGGGCGTGTATGGGAAGAACAGAGGAAACAAAAGATCTATTCGTATCTTTTGAAATTTTACATATTCAGTAACAATGACTGGTATCTGGAAACAATCCGAAAACGGCTGAAACCTTGGCTCGTGTTTTGGGAATGTGGGGGGAAACAGCCACATGCTAATTCTTTCATTGCTCTGATCTGAGGATGCAAGAAAGGCATTGCACCCGCGTTTGTCTGGATAAAAAGGAAAATTGGAACTTGTACCCAGATGTTCAGTATCCCAGCGCTTCTAGATGTTTCCATGTGGCGGCATGTTGGGTATGGTGGCGCACAGAGCGGCTACCACGTGATTCTCTCCTGGATGCTTTGGTGTTGCGTAGCCATATCCACGAACCAGAGGAAGAGGAGGGCGGCAGGGTGCAGGCAGTGGGAAGAAGGGGCCCCGGGCTGCTCTTTGCCCAGCTCCCTTTAATACCCACACAGTCGGAGCAGGCCTACAGTCCAATCTGCCGCCCAGATTGCTCATGCTCTAACGAGAGGCAGCACTGCAGAGAGCAGGGGTGGTTAAGGAAGGCAATAAAGAGTTGAAATACAAATTAAAATGAATACAAAGTAAAACGCAAACAGACGGGGCAGTCCTGCAGGCCGCACAGTCCTTGGAAGCTGCACAGGCAGTCCAACGGGGCTGGCGCAGCCTGGAAAAACCTACAGAGGGAGAAAAGAGGGCAAACCTAAACATTCAGAGGTGGTTGTTTTGTTTTGTTTTCTTTTAAATCACAATCAGAGAAATACGTTCAAGAACCATAGGAAACCATTTAAATCGTGCAAAACCTCATCCTAAGGCATCAAAAATTTTGTGCCAAGATAAGCTGAAGAAGAGCTGGATCCTGCCAGTTGGCTGTTGAGTTCATTTGATAACAAATCAAATCTTCCTACAGGCTTTAAAGTAGGTATTTGTAATACTAGCCAGCAGCTTCTTTTTGGGGTCCGCAAAGCATTCTGCAAGCCTAACCTCGTGAAGTTCCACGAATTCACAAAAGGCAGGGACTAACATGCAGGCGTTTCCACATGGGAGAACGGAAGCTCCGAAAGCCTCGAGTGGGCCAGGCAGAATTCGGTCAGATCGCTGACAGAGCCTACAGCCTCTCGCCCGAGCACCTCACAGATGGACAGACAGCTTCAGAGGGGCCAAAGCCCAAAGTCATGCTGCCTCTAGACCCTGTCAGGTATGGAGATGGGGCTCCTTGAGTCCCGGGCTCCTCCCCGCAGTGCACCCACACGCACACCTTACACACCAGATTCTGCTGTGGCAACCAGCTGGATCTGCAAGGACGGAACCGGAACATTAAGATCTCCGGATTGCCCTCCAGGGCTCTACCCTTTCTCAGTTTCTGTGACTTGTCTGGGTGCTTTTTTGCCTCCAACATCACCTAGTTCACTCCATGGACTTTTTGGTAAACCTTTCCATACCTTTCCATGGACATTACGGTACTCCCCTTGAACCACTGATTGGAAAAGTTTAAGCTTAAAGAGTATCTTTTCATGGGGCTTGGTTAATGTCAAGAATAGAATGCACAGATTAGTTTTATCCCAGAGTTTACATAAATACACATGCATATTGTGTATGCGCATACACGTCAGTGTGGATGTCCGTGCGGAAGTGGTGTGCGTGCTTATGTGTATATAACCGATCAGCTGCAGCTGTCCGCTTTGAAAGTTCTAGCTAAGACATGGTCATGTAAAATTCAGATTTTCCTGTTTAATGTTTAACAGTCCAATAGTCTATGCAGATTTTTGGTGTGTCCAGGCTATCACCGTCTGAAAGCTCCTGTCTTGCTACAGAAAATCCACTCTTCGGGGTCCTCAGTACGCTGCGGACTGTTTCTAAAGTAGAGTGTAACCACGGCCACGTTTCCTTTGCAGTAACGAGTGCTGGTCTGTATGAGCCTTGGATCCCAGACAGTAACAGCCAAGTGTAGTCAGAGATTCTGGACATGGCACAGAGCCACACGGACACCCGATTACAACAACGTGGTGCTAGATCTGTACCCTAAGCATAATTGTCGGACCCTGTAGATGTGGGAGTGAAGTATCTGAGGTCCCTGCCAGTTAACCAGATGTTATTAAAGGGAAGGGCATTCTAAAAACTTGTGACATTTCAGCACGGGGCCAAAAGCAATGATCATGTTTGTAACCTCCTGCTATTTAGACTCATTAATAATTTACTGTAATGTGGGTTCCAACTTCTACTTAACTATTCTTCAAAGGGCCAGAGTCACACTTACTGCTTTTATTTAATAGAGCCATGATTAATCTACTAAGCAGTTATTGTCCAGTGTCTTACAGAGGGAGGGGCTCTGAGTAAGTTACAGAGATGTCATGTTGACCACCTTCATATCTTCTGAACAGACTTTAAAGCAAATACATTTTGGTATTTTTCTTATCAGTTGCTTAAGTTTACAACATTTAATTGAAGAGGTTTTGAACAAATGCCAGGCTTCTCTTTCTGCTTAATAAAACCTTTTAAAGGAGCTGTTAATCTACTGCCTTGCACTTGTACCCAAGAAGTTGCTAAATTAATTTACTGACAAAGAGAATCAATCATCATAAATGGTGTTGAAACAATAGCAGGGCCTCTGAAGAGTAATAAAGGACTGGCATTGGAATAGCATGATTCATGTTATCATCCTGTTTGTGTTGTAACAGGTTAACGGCAGAAACCTCCTTTCAGTTGACTTTGATCGAACAACAAAGACAGAAAAGATCTATGATGACCACCGTAAATTCCTGCTGAGGATCGCCTATGACACGTCAGGGCACCCGACTCTCTGGCTGCCCAGCAGCAAGCTGATGGCGGTCAATGTCACCTACTCGTCCACCGGCCAGATTGCCAGCGTCCAACGGGGAACGACGAGCGAGAAAGTGGATTACGATGGCCAGGGGAGGGTCGTGTCTCGGGTCTTTGCCGACGGTAAAACCTGGAGCTACACATACTTGGACAAGGTATGCCCGCACGGTGAGAGTCAGAGGAGGGGAGCCATGATCAGTATTTTTCAGCAGTCGCGCAGGGCACTGTGGGAGAGGAGAACGCGGGGCATGTGCTGGGGCTCCATTTATTATTCTAAGTATCAGTATGCAAGTCGCATTGGTACAGCGGGTGATGAATTTCTGCATTAGCCAAGTAGTTTCTCCTTAGTTAAGTTCTACCTGAGACCCTTTTAAGTGATGTATGCCGCAAACAAACAAGCAATAACGCTGTCCACCTGCCAAGTTTCTACATCGACAACATTCACAAGTTAGACCTTGAGCATGTAAGTCGTTAGGAAATAACCTCCGTGCTAGCTCTTTCATTTAGGAAGGAGCCTACGTTAGCTCAGTGGGAGCTGTGAGTGTCGTGTTGTCGCTAGCAGAGCTTCCACATAACCGTAAAAAGCACAGAGATCCCATTTATGCATTATTAACCTAAAGAGGCTATTATTTAGGAAGCCACATTTCAGGCACTCTGTGGCATCTCTCCTTTCTTGTGCATATAAAAGGTGTAAGCATCCCCACTTAGGCTTTCCCCCCTCCTTAAGCACTAGGTACGATACCAAAAAAGACTTAAAGTTACCCGTGTGCAAAATGCTCGGTCGCACTCTAAGAGGTTTGGGATGGTGACTGTGGCCCAAAGGGATGAAAGCAATAGAAAAGGGACAGGGAACCGGCCACCTCCCTGCCCTTCCCTACTGAAAAAAAGAGAACCCGCCAAAGAGCATATTCGTGGGACGTTCATTTGCCCTTGAGCCAAGCATCAGCCCTAGGGAAGGGTTCTGTTTTGAGTCCCAATGCCTGTCACACCTCAGAGCATGCCACCAGCAGGCAGGCAGCAACCCAAGTTACAAACACAGCGATTACTGCCTCCAGCCCTTACGTGCATCGGCCAGAGTGACCTGGAATGCAAGTCCGCGCCACTGTCGCTCACACCGTCATCCGCACTCACCTCACGCTGTCTTGTTCTTCATGAGAGGCCTTCTGCACAACTCCTCAGTCTACACCTAGCCCCACTGCCCGGCAGTTATCCCGTCTACGTCTAGATGGCCTCGACACGGACTAGCCTTCCAGAGAACCAGCGGCAGGTTCAGAGCTCACCACAGATGCCTCCCAACTCTGGAATGCTTCCCCTACTTGCCAGTCTCTTCTCTCGCAAACCTGCTCATCTGCTCTCCTTCGAAGAGACTCACCCTTGAGACAGTGGACTGGCCCACTGGGTGACAGTTCCCCTCCACACTAATCCTCACACTCGACAGTTACTCCGCTGGTGATTTGATGAGAGACCACAGAGGAAGCCCTCCTACGCACATCCCTTCCTGGGAGCAAGTCCTCGTGCCTGGAAAACACTTCACCCTCCAACCTAACAAGCCCCAAGACAACTTCCTCCTGAAGAAACTGGGAGTGGGTCCCCACTTCATCCTGGAACGCTTTTCCCAATGTAAATTAAGTACATTACAGAGAAGTGTAACAGAAATACCCAGACCTTAAAAACTGACAGTAGTGATCATAATGTCATGGGAGAGTGTTTAAAAGGAGACAAAGGGCATGTCATTGATAAGAGCCACTAACTACCAGCAGTAACTGAGGTCACATTCATATATCATTGGGGATCAGAAAAGCCAGCAAGTATTTTCATCATCTCTCCCAAATCCCTAAAATCCACCCAAACCATTTCCATTTCCTTGCTAGGATAGGCACACTAAACCAAAACCTATTCATAGCGGAAGTAGTAATATTTTACTATCATCAGATGTGATTTTAAATGACTACACAACTAGGTACTAATTCCTGTGAATTCAGCAATAATCCAACTTGGCACAGTGCAAACTATTAGGAACAATTCTCAAGACATCTACTAGACAGCCAGCAGACAGACTGCCCCTAGATATGCCCACAGAGGAGACTCTGCAGAACCTGGCTTGCAGGCTGCTTTCAAAGATGGTGCACGGTAAAGAGAAAGGGAACGAGCCTTGGACAAGGGATTATGTGTTTCTCTGGCGAAAGCAAAGCATACGTCCCAGGAGGGCGCCTAACACACGCATCCTTCCAGATCTGCCATCACTGCGTTTGGTCTAACAGGGTTGGGGGGAAGCTTCCTCAAAGGAGAGAATCACCTGTGCTCTGTATTACTATTGAGCTGTATTATTCACTATTGAGCCTCAGGGTTGAGCTTCTCATGCTGGTCTAATAAATGATTGTCTTGTGTCTTTCTGCAATTACTTGCAAAATAAGCAGAACTCATTTTAATTTATATATTTATTCACTGCGTTATTTAGCACCAAAGTAGAACGTAGCCCAGAAACCATTCTTACAGCAGCTGAGACACTAATCAGATTTGGTACTCGCTAAAGGAAATTTCAAAATGTAGATTTTATTGCCATTCCAGATGACAGGTAAGAATTTGCAAACAAACAAACAAAACCCGTACCTGGATCCATATTTCAATTAAGGGCCTTTACAGCTCTCACTCACCGTGTGATTTAGCAATGTTTGTTGACGTTGATGCTTTATATACACATTATCCATTTTTGAGTAATTTTATGTCTCTTCTTCATAAAGTAGTATTTTGAATGCTTTGCTCCTCCCCCACATGCACTGGAAATTAAAACATGATTTGAGTGGCTCTTCAATCAAATGAGGGGGAAAAGCCACCTTCCTAAATAATTGCTAATTATGGATAGGATTGCTTTTCCCATATGCTGTTTTCTCCCTGAAATATTGTCTTTAAAGCAGCTTTGCCCATGCCTGTATCATGACTTACCCACATCTATCGACAATCTGCTGCTTGGCTGTGAATGCCTAGAAAAAGAATGGTACAATCATGACAAGTGGCACATTAGGAACCTCGAGCCACTAACTGCAGAACCCCTCACAATGAAGCATCCAAGCAAATTAGGCAGGGAATCGTGAACATGTAAGGTCAAGGATAACTCAATTAAAATGAAAATAATTTTCTCAAGCAAACTGTTTCTGTGTACTTTCTGCTTTTGCCCCCCTGCCCCGCCCACAAATATTGAACAACAGTCTGTTCTGTCTTTCCAGTCCATGGTCCTCCTGCTTCACAGCCAGAGGCAATACATCTTCGAGTACGACATGTGGGACCGACTGTCGGCCATCACCATGCCCAGCGTGGCTCGCCACACCATGCAGACCATCCGGTCCATCGGCTACTACCGCAACATTTACAACCCCCCCGAGAGCAACGCCTCTGTCATCACGGACTACAACGAGGAGGGGCTGCTTCTGCAGACGGCCTTCTTGGGGACCAGCCGGAGGGTCTTGTTCAAGTACAGAAGGCAGACCAGGCTCTCCGAGATTCTATATGATAGCACGAGAGTCAGTTTTACCTATGACGAAACAGCGGGAGTCCTCAAAACGGTAAACCTCCAGAGCGATGGTTTTATTTGCACCATTAGATACAGGCAAATTGGCCCCCTGATTGACAGACAGATTTTCCGCTTTAGTGAGGATGGGATGGTAAATGCGAGATTTGACTACAGCTATGACAACAGCTTTCGAGTGACCAGCATGCAGGGTGTCATCAATGAAACGCCACTGCCCATTGATCTCTACCAGTTTGATGACATTTCTGGCAAAGTGGAGCAGTTTGGAAAATTTGGAGTTATATATTATGATATTAACCAGATCATTTCCACGGCTGTAATGACTTATACAAAGCACTTTGATGCCCATGGCCGCATCAAGGAAATTCAGTATGAGATATTCAGGTCACTCATGTACTGGATTACAATTCAATATGATAACATGGGCCGGGTAACCAAAAGAGAAATCAAAATAGGGCCCTTTGCCAACACGACCAAATATGCTTACGAATATGATGTTGATGGACAGCTCCAAACAGTTTATCTAAATGAAAAGATCATGTGGCGTTACAACTATGACCTGAATGGAAACCTCCATTTACTGAACCCGAGTAACAGTGCCCGTCTGACACCTCTTCGCTATGACCTGCGAGACAGGATCACCCGCCTCGGGGATGTTCAGTATCGGTTGGATGAAGATGGGTTCCTGCGTCAAAGAGGCACAGAGATCTTCGAGTACAGCTCCAAGGGGCTTCTGACTCGGGTTTATAGTAAGGGCAGCGGCTGGACAGTGATTTATCGTTACGACGGCCTGGGAAGGCGCGTATCTAGCAAAACCAGTCTGGGACAGCACCTGCAGTTTTTTTATGCTGACTTAACTTATCCCACGAGGATTACTCATGTGTACAACCATTCAAGTTCAGAAATTACTTCTCTCTATTATGATCTCCAGGGACATCTCTTTGCCATGGAAATCAGCAGTGGGGATGAATTTTACATTGCGTCAGATAACACAGGGACACCGTTGGCTGTTTTCAGTAGCAATGGGCTTATGCTAAAACAGATTCAGTATACTGCATATGGTGAAATCTATTTTGACTCCAATGTTGACTTTCAACTGGTAATTGGATTTCATGGTGGCTTATATGACCCACTCACGAAATTAATCCACTTTGGAGAAAGAGATTATGATATTTTGGCAGGACGATGGACAACACCTGACATAGAAATGTGGAAAAGAATTGGGAAGGACCCAGCTCCTTTTAACCTCTATATGTTTAGGAATAACAACCCCGCAAGCAAAATCCATGATGTGAAAGATTACATCACAGGTAAGCGGTTTGTTTTTTTTTTCCCTTTCCAAGTACTGAATTACTTTAATCCTTATATGACTACACACAATAACGGGAGTTGCTTTCTTTAGCCTGACACTTTACTCCTGCAAAATCAAATGCCTAGCCTTGTAAATGTGTCTATTTCTCTGTGGAACCATAGAGAAACCAGAAAGGGAAACTGAGGCATGGTTTGTTACTTCCTATTCTGTATCCAATGCCCAAGGCCACAATTTTCTGAAATGACATGGAATCCAGTCACTTAAGCAAGGGAGGTAACATGGGGGTGTGGAAAACAGGATGAACTTGGAGCCCCCAAACTGGAACTCCAATCCCAACCCCTCTCCTGTAAGTCGTGTGGCTTTAGAGACAAGTCAGAATTTTTTTTTAAGCTGTTTCCTTAACAGTGAAATGGGGAGAATAATGCCTCCCTTAATGGTATAAAATATATGCAATTCTACTTTAATTACTAACTCCCTTACAACTGTGTAACGTTGGTTTTTCTTTTATACGCGTGTGAAGTTCTAACGGAGCAGTCATGAAACACGGCAAAGTGCGATTCACCGTCTCATTCCCGGGATGTTTAACTCTCCACCACCATCACCTCAGGACAATAAAGGAACAGTTTCTCCCACCACTTGCTTAGCCAGCGGATCCCGTTTCTGTTTTCACTACCGTCTGTGCGTGGTGGCCCTACTAATAGACACGCACTAATTTTTCTGCCCGTGGGGGGGTAGTAAGACCTTTCCAGGTTTGGGGCATGATGTGATTGAAACCTCTCATCCCACTTCTGCCACCACAAAACCACCAGGATGAGAGAGACACAGTCTTTGCAAGCACTGCTCTGGCTCACTTTCGTTCCTGACTTCTCCACTCATCCTCCACCGCGTGGATTCTGAATCCTTCTGCCCCCACCTTCCTTTCCTGAATTACATACCATATGAACCTCTCTACCACATGTATGCTTCCTGGAGGAAGGTTCTTTCCTGTTTTCTTTTTTGTTCTTGTTTTTGGTTTGGTTTGGGGTTCTCTGTTTTGTTTTGGCTTGTGTTAGGTCCTCCTTCAGGCTGTCTCTTTTCTTGCTCAATATTTGAGGCATAGTGAAATGCCTCTTTTCTCGATTCTTGGTACAGTTCTCAAAACACTGCCCCCTGTTCACTTCGCATCTGCTTCCTGCTTTCCCAGACTGCCAAAAGCTTGTCATAGCTCTCCTCCGCGTGAACCAGCTGAAACTCGCTTCTTTCACAGTCCTGGTTCAGCAACACCCTCATGGTGTTCTCCTTCAGCTTACTCAATACACATCGGCATCTGAGTCCCATTATTTTGGCGATGCTTTTCAATACTTAAGACCCTGTGATCTTTTTTTTCTTTTACTGTTACACAGACATTGTTCATAGTAGGAGAACCTTTGCCCCCAACACTACCATTCAGGAGAATTTTCTCCAAAACATAAGACCCCCTGTAATCTTCTATGTACTCACACACACACACACACACACGCACACCCCCAAAAAAGTATCACTCTCTATTCTACATGATGAACTTGGGATTTCTCTCTCCCACCACCACCACCACTCCTCCTTTTAAAAGAGGGAGAATACCACCGCTTCTATAAGCATATGATGTTTGGACAGAGGGCCTGCCAGCCTGGTGATGAGGTGAAGTTTGTGCCCTAGAGGAGGAAATAGGACGCAAGTGGCTCTCCCATCATTCTGACAAGCAGTTTACCACTAGTTATTTAAGAGGTGTTGACAGGGCTGCCTGAAAGGCGGGAAAGCCCACAGCTCCTGAATCCATCCTTTCCTAGCAATGTGGACTGCAGGGAATGCCATAGCAGCAGTTGCTGAAAAACATCAAAGGAGAGATGGAACAGCATAAAATATATGAGGTGAAATGCAATTTCAAATTTTCCAGCAATGTGCTTAATATATAAAATAATCTACACCCAACTGTACTCATAAAGCTGCTAGCCTGCTGAGTCGTTCTGTAACATTATAACCTCCAGAATAGAATAAAAGCCTTATTCTGTGCTTAATGGCTTTCGGAGTCACGTGGCAATATTTTAAAATACCATTTTAAAGGTCTCCAGGTTCTCTCCCCAAAAAGTTCGTCCCCACCTGTGCACAAGTGAGCCTTTGAAGTCATAGCTGATGGTAATCAGAACTTCTGTGCCCTTGGCCAGTTCTGCCAGTTTTCAGCATTCATCTTTGATTAAGAATCAACTCTTGATTTTAATTCTCTCAATTTAGGGTTTTTATTAATAGAAAATGGGTTGTGGAAGCTGCATATCCTTGGGCAATCGCTTTTGAAAGCTAATAACACACAGCTCCTATTTAAGACCAGTCTTGACTAACTACCAATTCCCTTTGTTTACTCCAGCTGCGGCTCTTTCATGCTGCTGTGCATTATTACCACCCCCTTTTACCACTTACTTCTAGCACAGGATGCACCTTCGCACGTGTGACAGTTTATCCAGTCTCAGTGAGCAGCTACGGGGCTGTGTTTTCCGTAGTCCTTGCCATAGCTCCATTATGGAGGCTAGCGGCTTCAAGTCCGAGGATAGAGAGTGGGGTCTGAATTAGAGAATGAAGGCAAGCATGGACTCCTCTTCAGGTTGCTGTTTGTGAATTTGGGGGTTTCTTAAAGGTAAGAATTTAAATGTATGAAAGCACAAAATAACTCTAACACCGTTCATTTTGAACATTCTCCTAGATGTTAACAGCTGGCTGGTGACATTCGGTTTCCATCTGCACAATGCTATTCCTGGATTCCCTGTTCCCAAATTTGATTTAACTGAGCCTTCTTACGAACTTGTGAAGAGTCAGCAGTGGGATGATATACCGGTAAGAACAAAAAGTCAAAGTGTGAAAGAGTGATAGATGGCTTTCCTGTGTCGTATTTACCCATTTAACCAAACTGCCCTTGTGAAAGCTGGACCACAGACCGGTTTTTAATATTTTTTTGACTCTTTTAGGGTAGAAAAACATCGCATTTCTGTGCAGCAAAGCAGGGGCCTGTTAAACAGGCTTAAATTTGTTTTTAGTGATGCTAATAAAAACATAAAAAGACATTATCAGAAGGTAATAAAATGAGGGAGCTCATTTTTGAGCGCAAGCTTTCTACAGAGAACCCCCGTGAAAGCACATTTTATAGCACTTGGGACCTCAAGGCAAAGATACTATAAACAGGAGGGGAGGGGATTCATATTACAAATTAGCAGCCCACAAACAATGCCGCAAAGTTCAACTTCTTTAAAATCTGAACAGTGTTTCATGGGAACAGATTGAAAATAAAAATAAAATGTCCTCTGATAAAGCTCCATCTGCAACTAGGTGTTTATAGAATTTTCCTGAAAATAACATTTCAGGAGGCCTATAATTGTTCTGAGAACTAAAATAAAAGAAAAAGAACGGAAAATTGCAAAGTCAAAGCTGCCATTTCAGAAAATGGCCCTTTTAATTCCTGCCATTCAGAGATCAGAAAGGAATGTACAACAAAACACTAGAATTTCTAGCTTAAAGCAAGAATAATTAAAGATCAAGAAATTGGGTTACCCCATAATGATAAGGAGAAGAGAGGGCAGAGTTTCTTAGAAAGATTAATTTCTCCCCCCCTTGAGCAATTTCCTGTAATTTCAGTGAATACAAAGAGAAAAGGCAATCATGGCCGAAACACACACACACAACACACACGCCAATACCTCTCTTTTCTGGTATAGGTTTCATACCTCACAGAACAATTCCTTCTCCAAGATGTCACCTTTCCATTTAAGAAGCAAAACCCATCAAGTTTCCAAGGTCTGGGAGCCATTTTAACATTTCCAATTGCAAACATATCTACGCTGATAAAGTGTCATGAAGACACACTGAAGTTTCCCAGTGCATTTGAACAGGCACGTCCTTACGGTGTCTGACTTTCCAACATGTCTGCGAACACTTAAGTCTTACTGTACAAGTGGATTTGCCCACTTTCTCCCTAGGCAGCCTCCTAAATGTGGTTCAAGTCCTCTGTCAAAGAGAAGCGCACCATAAGGACAGCTTAGGGAATTCCCCAGCAAAGACACTGGAGGCTGCCCCAAGCGCCGAAAAACAAATGTTTCTTTCACTGCTGCCGATGAAACAGATGTTTTGGGGGAAACACTGGACAGACAAACATCCGGCAGTAGAAGAAATGGCTGAGTTCAGATGTCCTCAATTTAAAACGCTTGCCAGCGTAGATGGTCCACCGTCCCTAAGTCTCCAAAAAAGTAAACGTTTTCCTAAAGTAATAAATACTCACCTCCCGCTGTCCCACTGTGCACTCAGCCCTGCACATTTCACTTGTGCCGGTAACAATGGCGAAATTTGGGTGGAAACTGTGTTTGCCGAAAGCACAGGAATTTCAAAGCATGTTAAGTAGGACGCGGTGGTCCCGCGCTGAGTACCCCCCAGCCTTTCAAACCCTCAGCCTGTGTTGGCTGCTTCCTCCCCGGGTTCCCATGGAAAAAGCCGCAGTGACCCTGAGAAACGGGGTTCCCCAAATGGGATGAGCGTGGGAAAGAGGCATCCAAAAAACAAAAGAGGAAAGCTAGAACCATTATTTTGCCCACGTCAGAAACTAAAAAGCTCTTAACTAATACATGATGGAGTCCCCTCTTTTTACGTTTCAAACCTCATTTGGATCAACTGGAGGGGAGGGGACCTCTGAGTGCCTTCCTCTACCCAGAGTTGTTTTTTGTTGTTGTTGTTGTTGTTTTTTTAAGCCTTTTCATCTCTAAAGAACCCACTGAGGTTTTCATAAATGCCTGGGAGCTCTCCACAGAAGGCCCCCCACCCTCCTCTTTTTTGGGTTGTTGTCAGGACTGGGCGCGCTGCCAGGAAGCCTGGCTCCCCGGCAACCAAGAGCTACAGATGTTCTCTAAACCGTCCTCCCCCCCCCCTTCTGTTTCGCTTTTCAGCCCATTTTTGGAGTTCAGCAACAAGTGGCGAGGCAGGCCAAGGCCTTCCTGTCCGTCGGGAGGATGGCGGAGGTGCCGGTGAGCAGGCCCAAGGGCGGCGGCGCGCCCTCGTGGCTGTGGTTCGCCACGGTCAAGTCGCTGATCGGCAAGGGCGTCATGCTGGCCGTGAGCCAGGGCCGCGTGCAGACCAACGTGCTCAACATCGCCAACGAGGACTGCATCAAGGTGGCGGCCGTGCTCAACAACGCCTTCTACCTGGAGAACCTGCACTTCACCATCGAGGGCAAGGACACGCACTACTTCATCAAGACCACCACGCCCGAGAGCGACCTGGGCACGCTGCGGCTGACGAGCGGCCGCAAGGCCCTGGAGAACGGCATCAACGTGACCGTGTCGCAGTCCACCACCGTGGTCAACGGCAGGACGCGCAGGTTCGCCGACGTGGAGATGCAGTTCGGCGCGCTGGCGCTGCACGTGCGCTACGGCATGACGCTGGACGAGGAGAAGGCGCGCATCCTGGAGCAGGCGCGGCAGCGCGCGCTCGCCCGGGCCTGGGCGCGCGAGCAGCAGCGCGTGCGCGACGGCGAGGAGGGCGCGCGCCTCTGGACGGAGGGCGAGAAGCGGCAGCTGCTGAGCGCCGGCAAGGTGCAGGGCTACGACGGGTACTACGTACTCTCGGTGGAGCAGTACCCGGAGCTGGCCGACAGCGCCAACAACGTCCAGTTCCTCCGACAAAGCGAGATCGGCAAGAGGTAACCCCCCGGGCCGGCTGCGGCGGACGGGCGGCGGCCCCCCGGCGCTGGGAGGCGGACCCCCAGCCGGGGCAGGGGCGCTGCGTTCCTCTCGAGCCTCAACCACACCCCCTGCTCGGATTTTTCTGTAGCACAATCCGAATCGGACTCTCCGGCACAGAAGAGCCTTCCCAGGAGAACGGACTGCTATTAAAAAAAAAGAAAAAGAAAGAAAGAAAGAAAATCCACAAAAAAAAAAAACAAAAACACACTTTTTTTTCTGAGTGACCTTAAAGGTGATCGGCTTTAAAGAATATGTTTACATATGCATATCGCTGCACTCAGTCGGACTGAAAGTATTAAAAGGAAAAATCAATAAGTGAAAGAAAGGAAAAAAAAAAAAAAAGGCCGAAACGTTTTGCGCGAGGCCATCCGTTCCTTCGAGGCACTGTATTTAACTAAGGTAGAAAATGCATACAGTGTTTCCAGATGTTACCGAATTGTCGACCTTTGCTTACAAGAAGTAGTCTCTCTGCATAGGATGTGATATCTGTCTCTGTTAATTTTAAAATGTGGGGCAAAATTACTGTTTATAGACATCCCAACTGCTTTCCCTGTGCTACTTTGTAAAAGGACGTTGGCACAGTGACTTCTGCTCTGGAGGGGATTTCATAATGGATTTTACAGCGCTAACGTGGTTTGCCTTGGGGGGGAAAAAAAACTGGCAAATAGAATCCTTGTCACTGATAAGCAAAGGAAACCCTGATTTTTTTGTAAATTATGTGAGACAAGTTGTTTATGGATTTTTATATGAATTACAATTTACTGTACATCAAATAATTAGTCTCAGAGGAGTTAATTTATGTAAAGTGTTTAAAAAGTTTATACTTAAAAATAAAATGATAAAAACGTGAACTGTGTGATTTTTTTAAAAGGATTGCACCTTTTGTTATCTGTTATAGCTGTACAGTATAAATTATTATATTGTAGAGATATAACGACTTATGCCTATAATGTCCAGAAGTGTTAATATTTTTGTATTAGGTTGAAAAAAAAATGTGCAACTTTCTATCACTAGATGGATAGGACAGTGCAATCCTAAGTGGGTGGCTAATCGGAGAACTGCTCCTTTCCCTTTCTTCTCTTTTTCATCAGGCTGGTGTCCTCAACCATTATCGACTGAGAGGCACAGTAGAAAACTAAGGCTGGTGGAATGTAGCAGAAGATATGAAAAAAAAAATTAAAATAAACTGGGCCGGAGAGGTCCTCTCTTGTCCCTAAAAGTCGAGGGGAGTTGATAGAATTAACCACAGGGTTTTTACTGTTCACCATTCCTTGAAGCTCCATTTCACGATGGAGGCGAGAGACCACATCAGATGCTCCGGGGAAACGTGCGTGAGAAGGAAAGGATCTCATGTAGTCATGACCGTAAACATGTGTCTTAAGATCTAGGCAAGATAGCAGAACCCGAGTAGCGGGGAGCGGGCCGGATGGGGAAGGTCAGGGTCCCTCTGCTAGTCTTGGGTTTGGACCGCCAGGTCACCAAGAGGGACACAAAAGGGAGACAAAAGCTCCTGTAAGCCCACACGACCCACCGGTCCTGGGAGCTGGTTTGAATGGGAGCCTCTGCTCTGTGTGGGGGAAGCGGGGGGGTGGCCCATCCAGCTGGAAGTGAAATGGCAGCCATGCCCTCCTGCACGCGTGGAGAGCGGGCCCGGGCACAGCGGCCATGTGCACTCCCGGGTCGGCCCAGCCGCTCTGGCAAATAAATCTCTTTTCGTGAGCACTAAATTCAGCCACAAAAATATTTTTAGAAAAATATTTCTCAGTTCATTGAGCTATAGTACACACTGTTTTCCTCTATGTATAATGGTGATAAAATATAGCAAGTGAACATGTCGTAAATATAAAGGTTCAAGTGATGTATTGAAAATACTTTTCTAACTGCTTTGTATGTATCACATACTCTAAATTGCACAGTAGTCGTGTTTATTAAACAGATTGGCTGGGAAAGTTTCAAAATAGCTGCTGAATTTACAGTATCAGAGCTATTACTGTCTTTGTGTATTTGGTAGAGCATACCGAAGTAATTAATCTTCTAATGAATGCTGATATTTTATTAGAATGAAAGCACAGATTAGCATTAATATTTTTTATCCTGGAAATCCTTTGGCAAGTATTACGAAGCCCCAATTTAGAAAACTATGAGATTTCAAACCACATAAACATGGCTCTGTTTTACATTTTATTTTTTAACTGTTAACTTAGGTGTTTGCAGTTCTGTTCGATGGAATTTCTGCAGGACTGTGTTTAGCATGCTGTTAAGTACTTTCGGTTGAAATAGGCTCTGAGTCTAAATTCTCAGAAATGTTTCTGATGTATTGACCGTGAAAAGCTTGTACCACATGCCAGAAGTGAAATCATAATCTTACCCTCCTCTCGACATGGACTGGTCCTTTAGGCTGGCACCGATAAATAACAGATTGGGAGTATCTCTTGGTGCTTATTTTAGATGAAGTCAGATCAACCCAATTAGTGTCTTGTTAGTAGGTATAATGAGCCTATTTCTTTCTAAAAAGACTTGTGATCTGGACATGCTTTTACAAGAAATAGTGACCTTGGGGAAATATGTAAACAAAAGACCTTTTTCTAAGAGTTGGGGGTGGGGGACTGTATAATGGAAAGAATTCGGTTACAAAAAAAAAAGAAATTGATATTCAAAGTATTTTAGGCAAAGCCAGTCAAAAATGCTTTCATGATATTTTGAGATGTAAATTTTGTCTGATTTGTATTGTTCTTTTCATTTGCCTTCTTAACTTTCTATGTGACCTGAATTTTCCATAACTTGACTATAGATTGCATCTAGGCATTCCAATAAAAGCCAACCCAATGTGTGCGTGTTTATATTTTTTTTAAATCGTGGGCTAGCCAGCGTGTGCTTTAGGGCAAAGGATGCAAAACAGATGCCTTGTTGGGGGTACTGATTCATCTGCAACCCAGTTGGTAATTTCTTTTTTTTTTTTTTTAATTTTTGTGTCCATTGGCCAGACTGCCAGCTCAGCATTGTGCACTTCACAGGGGACTCTTCCCATGGCCTACTTTAGAAAAACGTTAAATACACCCCCACAAAGCCAAACATTATCCCCGTAAAGAAGAATTAAAAAAAAAAAAAAAAAAACTGCCCATTACTGCTGGAAAACAGGCCTTGTTCCTGCGATCATGGCAATGAGTGCTTAATTAAAACACTTGATTAGAATAATCAGTTTAGGCCTGATAGGCTCCCAGCCTCCTGGAGATATCTAAATCTACATACAGCCCGGCTGATGGGGGGATGCTTAGGTCAGCAATTCCAGGCTGGAAGGCAGGGCTTTGATTTTAGTCTGAAAAGGCGGGCTTCATCACACTTGCTTTGTAGTGACAACATGTTGATCCAACAAGAATCAGGTCACTCCGCTTGGCAAACGGGTCTATTTTTTTTTTTTTTTCCTCCTCAAATTAGAGTCTAACGCGCTCCAACCGGGGAAATCCAGAAAAACCCTGGTAGATCCCGACTTTCGTTTTCCCCACGCCTCTCCTTAAAAGCCATGTGTGAACAAATGCAAAGGGAAGCACTGTAGGTAAAAATCATATCCTGGGAAAGAATTTTCTGGGTCTGGGGTACGCTGCTGGCACATCTGTGAAATTCCCGTTCACCTGTTCACATTCATCACTCGTTACCTGATACTTGCATGTGGACCCGAACATAAGCACAGCACCTGATTATAAACACCAGCCCTCAAGCACCTTCAAAGAGGAGGAGAGCATTCTGCCCGTGGTGCACAGACTAACCATGCCCCCTGGCCTCTGTTCACCGGTCTTTTCTTTCTTTTATCTTGGTCGGCTCCCAGATGAAGCTATTGCTCTCGCCTGCTGAACAGCAAATCAGCTGTCTGAGGTGCTTTGAAATGGAGGATTCCAAAAAGGGAAGCAGGGAAGGCAGTGATCCGCATCCTGTTCTGTCTGGGGCAAACCCCCTGGGCAGCGCTCACAGCAGCTCCCTCGCTGTAATGCAGAGAACTGCGCCCACCCTTCCCCTTGGGGACGTTGAGCTCCTGCAGAGTGGAACCACCCACCCCACCCCGAGGCCCTGAAGGGCGACTCAGCTCTTACTCTTTTCACAAATACCCAGATTCTGTCTCACTTTCTCTGAGAGCAGCAAGCTCGTTCCAGCACCCCAGTCCGGGAAATGCATCAAATTCTAGATGTGGAGTCTGAAGGGACTTAGAGAAGTTTGAGTGTGTTGTTCAGGTTCACAGAGGCAGCTCAGGCCAAGGCGAGCAAAGATTTCTTGTCAGCGAGCACCCTCCACTGCATTCAGATAGTCTCCTGTTAACACCACCCACTAAGGCACTAGGGACACCCCATTCCACTCTCATTCCCTCATTTAGTCTTTTCAAAGCTGCCATAATTCAGAGTCATCAATTTTCATCATATAAAAATTCCCAGGCCCTCTAACAGGGCATGTGTCTTGAGCTCCCCTCTGCCTGCCAATATTTCTGGTTCCTCAGCCCCTTCATCTTAGATAAGAAAGTCTGCCATGCAATATTAATGTCTTCGTAATTTCTCAAAAGGCTTCTAAAAGAATGACCTCTGATTTGCATATATGCACGTGTCAGGCTATTTATCTAGATTTTCCACAAGCTATTCATCTGGCTTTGGTCATCCGACGAAGCCAATGAAAAAATAAAAATTAGTTATAAGTCATTATGACCTATTTTAACCACAGCGTTAAGCCAGAGTGCCAAGGAGGTACTGATAAGCCGTTTGAGTTTTCTACCTTCTAATTTAAACCGCATAATGAATGTCCTCTCTTGCCAGAGTTCCCATTTGCTCTTCACCACCTCAGCCAGCAGTGGTCTCTTGATGTCAGTTAATTACTAATACCTTTTAGGTAAATTGAGAAAACCTTTTCATTTATGAACTGACTTAAAATTCTGTTGTGGAGGGATACAGGCTTCCTAGAGTCCCGTGTGCAGAGAATTTGCTAGAAACTGATTCTAGAACAGCGTCATTATTCAGTTTAGCGTTAACGGGTTCCACAAAGCAAATTTAATCAATCCTTTGGGGACCTAAGCTGAGGAAAATTAAAATTAGGAGCATAAATTGTGACTTCCAGGGCAAGACGGTGGTTCGGTTACATCCTCCTGCTTACAGGGTGAATTGTGAGCTGGACCCTAGCCGCAAGCATTCAGCCTGCATTTAGGAAGGGAAACCGCCTCCTTTTACACGTGTGCAAAGATTTTCTGGATTCCACCCACAATGGCTATTTTCATACAGCGTAACTCGCTGCATACGACTGACAGGATTAAGTGGTCCCCTGATTGGATCAAAATGAATTCCACAAAATGTTCACAAGTTAACTTCATCATTGGGGTCTGAGGGGAGTTAAAATGGCCAGTTCTGTGACCGAAAGGCTGAAAATGGAATGGCTCAGTGGCAGTCTGTGAGGACAAACACCAAAGGCGCCTTTCAACCTGGACTTCCTATCACATAAGTGATTAAGGACCTTCACCTAAGTGCAGAAACTGCCCTATCCCAAATGTTTTCCTTCAGAATTAATGTCAGGGAGATTCTAGAGATTCTAGTCTACAACTTCTATAGGCTATTCTACAAAAATCATCCCAGGACTCCTGTCTCTACATGCATGAGACCCTTTGCTCTCAGGTGCCTTCTCTCTCTCCCTCTCTCTTTCTGGTGTTACCCTGGTAGAAGCTGTCTGGGTTGCAACCCTTCAAGTTGTATCTAAACATGTCTCTTTCTAAGGCAGAGAAGGAAAACCATACACCTCCCTGCGGTAGACCAGATTGACTTTCAATAATGACCCAGGACATCATGGGAAATCAGAGTCGCTTGTCCCCAACTTACTTACGAAAGGTTATAAACAAGCAGATTTTTAAAGTCTCCTCACTTCAGCTATGACATTATTTCTAGTTTTGACCCTGTGGGGGTGGGGGTGCGGGGAAGCTGGGGTTCATGCTTCCGGCTCAAGCATTGACAGGTGCCACGGCATGACACACAGAAGATGCAGGGGTGACCCAGCAGCAGGAGAGAACCGATCCGGGCTGAGGGCCCCGAGGGAAGCTGCACGTGGGAGGTAGCAGAGGGAAGAGCATCTTTCCCTAAAGTCCCCTGCAGCTCCATCGCGGGGCTGCCCTCGTCTTTCCCTCAACTTCCAGGGCTCTGGCTCCTGCGGAAATGAAAAGCCATCCCAACATCCGGTGGCACAGTGGGCAGGGCCTCTGGGACGAGTCCTTCTCCTAAAATCCCAAGGAGGGTCCTGGTTAGGGAGGACTTGGGGCCACGGGCTCTTCCTCGGCCATCCCGCGAGGTTAGTACCGCTTCCCAGGCACTTTCGGGTAGGGCTCTAGCGCCCCCTAGTGATGAGCATCGTTGGCGAAGACCGTGACAGATGCCAAAGCAGCCTCGCCCAGACCGAAACCAAAAAACAGCCCCCGCCCCTCTCGCCACCTTCTACCGGGCTCCCCGGTTACGCCGATGCCAATCACCCTCCATTTCCCCATCTTTGCTCTGCCCACAGAGTTTCACACGTAAAACGATTACTTCTGCTTCATGCACTCCTTCACTGAGGCCTAGTCCTTGCAAAAATTGCTCCCGGAAGATTTCCCTTCACGTCAGGCAGAAACTTTGTCAAACAATGTCATCTTGCTTGGCAGATCAAAATAAGGCCCTTCCTCCCAGGAATTGTCCGCGGGCTATGTGAGTTTTGCAGTCCCCCAAAAACAGTGATTTCTGAACTAGCACATTGTTTCCCTTTTACTTTTCATGTTTGAACAGTCCTGTTGCCGGGGAGAATTTCCCAGAAGGGCAGATCATTTAAATTCAGAGTGGCGTTTTATTTCTGAGGGAGCCAGGCTCTCACCGTTAAGTGATCGAGTGACAGCCTGGAAAAGTGAACTCCCTCCAGATTCACCGGGCAGCTGAGGCCTGAGCAGGGTCTGCTCCCCGCCTCATCTTGGCCTCCCGGGTGGAGACATCCATCTCCTTCATATGCCCGGCCCTGCGGCAGCCACGGGAGGAAAGAAGGGGATTTCAGCCTTTTGCTCCCTTGTTGTCACCCAGAGAAGCCAATGGATGCCATTTGTAAATGGCATCCTGTTTCAGAAACGGTCTGTGCTAGAGCCCACTGTCATTTTTGGAGGCCTGTGTGAAACCAACAGCCCTAATTCCCTACCCAAGTTTTCATGGAAATAAAAGGACCAAAGTTGGCATATTAAAGCCAAAATATCTCCTTAGATTAAGACCAAGTTGAAGACTGTAGCTTCACATGAAAAGTAAAGGAGACTGCTAACCAGATGCCAAAAGTAGGTAAGGTCCCCCGACTTCATTGGCAGGGCTGGCCCCTGGCAGGCTCCTCCTGGTGGGGCAGCGAGGCCCTTTCTCTCCCCATGAGCCAAGAATGCCAAGTTCATTCTCCCCAACTCACCCATAAGGGTAAGCCCCTCTCCTGCCCCTTGGGGGCTGGAGCGATGGGGAGAGAGAGCCAGGCATGAGATCTCTCTCTCTCTCTCTTTCTCTCTCACACACACACACACTCAGGAGTCCACACCCCCTCAGAGTCACCAGGGAAGAAGAATCTTGCAGCACATCTCAGAACCCCTGGGTTTACCCGATTCTACCACCAATGCCTTGTGGCCTCCTGCCAGGTCCCCCTGGGCCTCTGACCAGTGCCCCCTCCCTGCTCTAACACCAGTGGGCTGCTTGGAAACCAATCCTAAAACATAAAGTTCTCGCCCTGGGAGCAGACCCCAGCCCTCCAGATAAGGAGGCCCTGTTTCATAAACCTGCTCCCCGCCTTGCTCCCAAACCCCATCACCCCACGGCCACGTCCATATCC